GGGGGGGGGGGGGGGGCATGGAGAGAGGCGGGCAGCGGCGGTATGGCGTCATGTTTGTGGTGTGTGCATCTATGTGCCGTGTGGGAGTGAGGGCGGGAGGTACCGACACATCCAAATGCAGGGATGGATGGGCGGACGGTTCATTCATCTCCATCTATTTCTATACATATTTGCGTCCATACACATGCATCTGCCTATGCTCGCTGGCTACTGCGTCTTTCCTTTCCCTCCCCCACTCCCTACTGTGTGTGTCCGTACCAGGTGGTCCGTTTGTTGCAATGTTGCGGTCGGTGACTAGCCTGATACATCCATACATCCATTCGGCACTCTTTGTTGCGCTCCTTTATCTACCTTTCCCCTGCTGCTGCCGACCTGTGTACTGTGTGCGCCCACCCACCCATGTATGTGTGGCCGTGTGTGGTGCAGTGCCACTCCCTTTTTGTAGTGACGCATGCAATGAGTATGGGTAGCTACATATGTCAAACTACACCCACACACGCCACCCCATGCCATCACATGCCATCACATACCATGCCACGCCACAACAACGATGCCACCTATCCGTTGCGCACACGTACACATCAATCGTCATGGGAGGGGATTTTCATGCGAAACTGTGCATGTCCGGTCGGGAGCCAAGAGAGAGAGAGAGACGGCAAGAGAGGTGAGTGTGTGCCTGTTGCTGCATCGTGGTGTGTGTGCTGTGCGTATGGTATGGATGGGAGTCCGTCGGCCAGATGTCGGCGGCCTCTTTTGCGCTTTTGCCCAGCATCAACGAAGATCAACAGCGTATGATCTCACGTTTAGTGCTCACAATGCATCCACACGTATACACACACACACACACACACACGCATGCTGCTACGCTACGCCGGCCGGACTGCTGTGTTTTTCAACCAATGAGTATGCGTGTGATTGCTCTCTCTGCCTCGATCGATGATGGTCGCCGTGAGTGAGTGTTGTTGTGCGATGTTGGTCATTTCGGTGTGTATGTGGTCTGTGGCTTTGGTGTTAGGATGCTTTTGCGATTGGCTCTCTGCATTTCTGTCTGCCTGTCTGTCTGTCTGTCTGTGTGTCTTGTCGATGGCCATGCTGTTTTGTACGTGAGAGAGATCTCTATGCCGTTCCTTTTGGTCAAGATGACCTGATGCTATCCGATGGATGGATGGATGGGCCTTTCTGCCCGTTTATGCTATGGATTGCCTTTCTGTTGTCTGTCTGTCTGAATGCCTGGTATTTCTCCTCACTCACTGAGTGCGTATTTGTCACGGCTGTATGTGTGTATGTTTGTCTGTCTGTCATCCTCCGGACATGGACGTGAAGCCCTGCATTCAAGTGTGTTGTGCCGTCGCCTCTTCTGTGTCATGTGTGTGCGTACCGCATATTTGTTATTGATACGGCCGGCCCCCTCCTCCAGCACTTTCTCGCACCGGCTCACTCACCGCCTCGCCTTCGACATTCCCGCCTCGTCCGAATTTTGACTCTGTGCCATCCAATGGACCGGTCAAGCTGCGTCTGTGCACAACCCCGCCTGCATGCGCTGCATGGCCAAGGTGTCTATTTCTCACGCGTGCGTACGGCATGATGGCAGATTGGTGTTTGGTTGAAACGACGCGACGCTGCGTCCCTCTTGTGGTGTGTGTGTGTGTCTTGTCATGTGTTGTCCTCATGTCGTGGGAGTGGCCGAGTGCGCATGGGTGGGTGGGTGTGTATCATAGCTACGCTGGCGCTGGATGGGTAGAGGACGAGAGACGTTAAGGCTGCAGACAGGTCGATAGCCGGTTGGGCGGGAAGGAGGAGAGAGGGAGAGAGGGGCAGTGACAAAGTGAGTGAGTCTCGGTGTGGCTTGTCTGGTGTCTGTGCCTGTGTGGTGTGTGCTGATGCACTCATCATCGATCTCGTCTTTGTCCCTCTTGCGTGGCGTGGCGTGCCGTTCCATGCCTTGCTTATGCCGGTCATCAGTGTGTGTGTGTGTGCGTGTCCGTGTGTGCGTGCGTGTGGAGTGGACGAAGACGCTAACGTCTGTCTGTCTGTATGGATGAGTGTCAACACTGTCTACCTATGTATACACACACAAAAGCAATCAATCAGTCAACCGATCAAATCGATCGATCGATTGATCGGCAAAGCAACGCAAAACGCCACGCAAAGGGTCAAACAACACACCTGCTGGCTGGTCGTCTGAGTGATTGAGTGTGAGAGACGAGCAGACAGACAGTCAAGATGAGGGCCTCCTTCGTCCTTTGCTTCGCTCTGCTGTGCGCCTCGTCGCTCGCCGACAGGGAGACCAGCCAGGCGGTAGAGACACACGCTCACACGAACTCACGATCACCGACATCAGCTGATTGAGTGAACGAGTGTATCGTGTGTCGTGTATGCAGGTTGACCGTCAGAAGATTTTCGGCTTCGGCTGGCCAATTCCATTTGTCAAGTGAGACAGACATGAATGAGACACCAACGACAGACACTCATTGCCTCTCTCTGACCCTCTCTCTGTCTTGTCGTGTTGTTGTTCGGTTGTCAGGAATTCGCAGACGTTGCCATCGATTGAGGTGCGGCTGGCCCCGCCCGAGGACCCCCTGCCCCAGGTGTCGGCCGAGATCGCTTTGCTCGACCGCGCGCGGCTCCGAGAGGAAGAGTACTTCATGAACAGGCTCCAGGACGAGTACAACAGACAGCTCAACATCGCCCAGGCGGAAATCAAGGACGCCATCGACAAGGCCATTCGGGTGTTCTTCGACCCGCGGGGCAGCGCCTTCACGTCGGCCATCAAGGGCGCACTCCTCCCCCTCACCTCGCCCACAGCAACATCCGCTGCCATGCGATTTCAGCCTCAATCCATCATACCTGATATGTAGACACACACACGCGGACGTGGCTGATGGATGTGTGTGTGTGTTGTCAGGGAGATCTGGTGGCATCGGAGCGTCGCTCAGAAGTCGGTTCACCTCGTTCATCGAGACGGGCACGGCCACACTGACCAAAGGCAAGGGCAAGCTGCTGCCGCTCGGCAACATCGCCCGCACTCTCATCCGGCCCCGAGAGCCGTCGATGAAAGTCAAACTCACCGACATCAAAGCGCCGGTCAACACATACACACACATACAGAGACAGAGAAAGAGAGAGACATGGCTGATGACCATCTCTGTGTGTGTGTGCAGAGCCGGGACATCAAGAGCAAGATCGATCAGATTGAGCAGAAGCGGTCCGATGAGGAGCGAAAGATGATCGAGCAGGCGATACAAGAGATGTCACAGGTGGGAATGTGTGCAATGGACAGACACAGTGGATGGATGAGTGCCCCGTTTGGGTGTCTGTGTGAATGGATGTGTGGGTGCAGTTGACCAAGATCACGATCCAGGAGTCGAAGAACATCGAGATCCAGGAGAACCCCTTCATCGTCGACTCGCGGATGCCCGTCAGGCAAGTTGCCAAGCTGCTCAGAGGCAGACGGGTGAGCAGCAAATAGACAAATCGACACACACATAGACCAAACCGACCTTGTTTCTCTCTGTGTGTGTGTTGTGAAAGGTCCCTGAGTTCCCAATCGTCAGAATCCAGCCCGGCAGGGCAGCTTATGCCAGCCGTAATCACACACACACACACAGACAAATACACACAAATGGATGTCTCTCTCTCTGTGTGTCTCGCCCAAACAGCGATTGCCACTCGTGCTGGTGGGACGGTGCCTGGCGGGGCGGGCGGCGCACTCCTGCGCTTCCAGCAGCGCCACGACCGAGTGATGGAGTCGCATCACGGCAGTGCGATGAAGGGATACAACGGCAAGTGCCTCGACATCCAGCACAGATTCCCCCACTTCCGTCTCGACTGCCGCATCCACAAGGCCACCGCACACATACCCACACGAGTAGGTCTGCACACATACACACACAGACGGACACAAGTCCGTCGATCTCTGTGTGTTGGTCAGATGCTGACGTCGTTCATAGAGATCCAGCACGCATCGCGCGCGAGTGAGCCGCCACACCACACACATCTGCCACGCGTGTTATAGATCTGTGAGTGGTTGTTCAGATGCGTCGAGTGCGTCATCGCTCAACCCTCTCTCGAAACTGGGCGGTCTGCTCGAGAGCCAACTCAACGTCAAAGTCACACAATCCGACCAGCCGTAACACAAAGACACACATACAGAGTGAGATGGGGGAGAGGGAGACAGCCACTCCCTGTGTGTGTGTGCAGGTATCCGACTGTCGATGAGCTCGTCGCCGACATGGAGAAGAGACGGCACGACACACAAACACAAAGAGAGAGACACACAGAGACACGTCTATCACCCTCTCTCCATGTCTCTTTGTCTGTCTGTGTGTTCAGTGACGTGGCGGAGCGTTTGGAGCGGATGAAGATCTTGGAGCTGGAGCTCAAGCTGATGAAGGCCGAGAACGATATGATCAAAGACGCTCTGAGGTCCGCACTCTCTCGCGTCATGGCCCAGTACGAGCCGGCCGTGACAGCGATCAAGGAGCTCCTCGCACCAATCACTCTCGGTCGCGGCAGTGCCACCGGCGCCAAGGCAAGCATCACACACACCCACACATCAAGAAAGATGATACTCAGATCCACTTGTTCTCTCTCTCTTTCTGTGCTTCAATGTCAGGTGCCTTTCCCCATTCCACAGCAGCAGTCGACTGTGGTGCTCAACGCCGCGCCATTCGAACAGATGGCCAAGACCGCAGCCGTCCGCACGACACGATAAATAGACAGATAAACAGACAGACAAACAGACACAGAGACATACAGACAAACCGAGGCCAGCCTCAGCCAGAGACGGAGAAGAACAGCCGAAGTGAGTCTCAGTTTATTTGCAGCAGACTCTTAAACGTCTGTGTACGTGTGACGCACGAGCACCCTGTGTGCGTTGGTTGGCGTTGGAGCGAGCAAAAATAATAGCACTTCGTAAATTTGAACCTTGATTTAAACGGCCAGCGAGAGGTGCGGTGAGCTCTCTCCCGGCTCTATCTCGCGCCGGCGCTGGCAGAAAATCCATCCCGCCACCCGCACAGGTCCGTTCCTCCCTGAGGGCCCGTCCCGCCAGAGCTGACAGCCCAGTTTTCAGCCGTCCAGAGCGCTCACTCCTTCCCTGTCTGCTTGTGCGCCCCCCTGGGTTTTCCCGCCTTGCAAAATGAGGTTGCTGTGTGCGTGTGCTGCGCTGGCCGTCTGCCTGGGAGCGGCCGTTGCGGGAGAGGCGGACAAGCTGATAGTGGGCACTGAGGGCGACGACCACCTCACTGGCGGGTCAGGTAGCGACACGTTTGTGCCGCTTGGTGGCCAAGACAGGATCCAGACGGGCTCTGAGGACGAACCAAACCAAGTCGACCAAATTGCCTACAACGGCGACCCATTCGACGGGGCGGACGTGTCAGCGCCGGACAGACAAGTCGTCGGGAACGAGGTGAGTGGTGTAGCGAGCAAGGGAGGGAGGGAGGGGGAGGGACAGAAACGAGTGGCTCTGCTGTGCTTTTCTCTGTGTGCAGGACATCCTGGAGGACTTCGAGGCTGGTGCGACCCTCAACAACATGGGCATCAAGATCGATGGCGACACATGGTTCTTCGACCTCAATAACTTCAAGCTCGGCTCAGAGGTGACGCACGCATACACACGCACACGCACACACACACACACACCCAAAGAGAGCCACACAGTGCACACCCGCTCTCCGTGTCTGCTTCAGATTCGTTTCTGCAAGGTGGAGGTGGTCGTTGCCGGCGACGGCTTCAAAATCGGCAACGAGGGCTTTCACACCTTCTCGGATCCCCAAATCGAAGGATGCGAGGTGGGCGGGCAGGGAGGGAGGGAGGGTAGGAAACCACGAAACCACAGAGGAGCGACTGGTCCGCTGTCGCGCACTCACTGTGGTTTGCGCTCGGCTCGCTTCGTTTCTTCCTGCAGGCCAACGCGAATGTGATCATCCTCGTGGGCCCCCGAGCCGGTGAAGACGGAAATGTCTTTAACATCCCGCAGGTATACACAGCGAAACCTTATCAGCAGAGTCGTAGTTAAGCCCTCCTTCCATCGTTCTCTGTGTGTGTACAGTTCAATGCGGGCGGAGCTGCCAATCTGGTAGGAGAAGAGCACAGCACAGCACGCCGATCACACAACCATTCGTGCGTCTGTCCGTGTGTGTGTGTGACAGATCGCTGCCAACTACGGCGGCGGTGATGTGACGGGCGTGTTCCTCTATCTCAACGTTAATACGGCCGACGGCAATCGCGATGGCGGCGGCCTCAACCTGAATAGGCTTGTGTACAGCGTCAACCTCGCAGACAAGGCCAGTGACCTGAAAATCCTCATGAGGTCAGTTCACAAGCCGTATTGGACCGCCCTTCATTGACGGCGTGTGCTGCTCTTTTGGTGTGTATGCAGGGATGTGTCCACGTGCTCGGAGGGCGCTGCTGCGGCGATTGCGGCAGGTCGTTGCATCGAGAGTGGAGAAAACATCCACAATGCCGTTGCGGATGCCGAGAAATACGTGGAAGACAATTTCGTGTTCGGTATGTATGCGCACATGCACTGCAATGCACGGCTGGCCGGTTCATCCATCCACGCGTCCTTCCTGTGTAGGCCGTGCGCGTTTCGCCCTTGACGGTTTTGCGCTGGGCTCCTTTGTCTCGGACATCCAGATCGGCACCGACAAGTGCGCCTGCACCGCACCCTGGACCCACCAAAGCTCAGCACACTTGTCCCTTCTCTCTCTCGGTGTGTTGTGTTGTGTTGTGTGTATGTCTATGTGTGTGTGCAGGAGCGAGTTGTTCATCCCTCTCGGCGGCACTGACTTCGTCGGGACCGGTGCTGGCTTCGACAGAATCTTGTTGCGGATCACGAAGACCGTCGACGACTTTTTCGGCGGCGCACGGGTGGGTGGGCACAATGGGGGGCGAGGGAGAGAAGGGGCCATGTGTGTGTGTGTGTGCGTGTGTGATGGCTGCGTGCCTACAGGAGGAGAGCATCTTCGATTTCGACTTCCACAACGACCAACATGTCTTCATGTCAGCCGCCAACACCAAACCCAACAGCACCACACCACACATAGTCACAATCCATCTCTGCTGTGTGTGGGCGTCCATGTGTGCGCTTGTGCAGTTCGCAGGACTTCCACGTGGAAGAGCTCAACTTTCTGGCGATCGAGCTGCTTGGCGTCGACGGCCTTCACACACCGAACATCGACCACATCCCTGACGACACCAATTTGTGGGTGCTCCTCAACTCCGACAACGGAGACGACCAGGGCGTCTTCAACGCACGAGCCGCCGCCGGACAAAGTGAGCCAGCCGAGTGGGTGGACTTGTGTGTGCGTGTGCTTGTGTGTCATCTGTCCGCCTGTGTGTCTGTGCGCAGTTGCCGGCGTGCTTAATGCCAAGGGTGCTTCGCCTGGAGCCGGGTACGCCTAGATTTGAACCCTCACCCCCCACACGCACCAACACTCACTACTCGTGGAATGCCTTTCGTCTCATCTCATCAGGTTCGTGATTTACTTCAACGAGGCCTTGCAGCTCACCCGCCTCTTCTACTCGCCCGACCTCGCCAATGGCGAGGCGCCGCTGACCATCCTGGCCCGCTACGTCGACAGGAAGGGCGAGGCGGCCATCAGCGCCCTCAGCGAGTGGCGCGAGGAGAACTTCCACCTCGACACCGACGGCAGCCTCTCCTGCGGCCGCAGACGAGTCTTGTGATCTGACGTCATATGCTTAGTGCAGTGGACTGACTGACTGATCTGATCTCTTTCATACGAAGTGGGTGGGCGGCTGTGTATATGGGGGGCTCTGCGTGAATTTGCATATGGGCGGGAGGCGTCAGGGTGTGTATGTGGTGCGTCTTCTGTGTGTGTGTGTGTGTGTGTCCCCTCGGGTCGGTGTTTTTCGGTGCTGCAAGCATATTGCGCAGCAGTGGTGAAGGCGAGCTCGTGGTCATGATGATTTATAAGGCGTGCATGCGTGTAGTAAATTCGCCGACTGGCCGGGTCGGCTGGTCGGCCATGAGTGTGCGCATACAAAAGGAGGAGAGCACGGCTACGCTTATCGCTGCTGTCCATTTCTGTCTGTCTCGGCCTGTGTGTCTGCCTGGGTGTCTGTCTGTCTCGGCCTCTCCTTTCTCTGCCTTGGCTTGGCTGCCTGAGTGCTGCTTTATCCGTCCGTGTGTTGCGTGTGCCAGTGCGTGTGTGTGCTGACTGTGCTGACTCACGGCTGTGTTCGGTTTTTCCCGTTTCCCTTGCTTTTTCGGCTTTTTCGGCGCTGTGCCTGCGTGTCTGAGGTGTGTGTACAAAGCGGAAGTTTCTGACTCGTGGCGGGGCGGCCGGGGGTGCGGAAGTTTCTGACTCTTGTACAAAATTTTTCGGCAATGATATGATAATAATTGTTTTGGGAGGGGGGGGCCATCAGATTGAAACGTCTGCCTTGGCAAGGGGAGGGATGGGGGATGCAGTCACAGCCACTCTTTTATATAACTATATGCCCCACTCACTGCTGTTCATGTGTTCACGGAGAGGGACTCTTTCTTGCTTTGTTTGTCTGTCTTTCTGCCTGGCTGCCTGTCTGTCTGTCTGTCTGTGCGATTTTCCATGCCGAGCCGCCCGCACTTTCTGCTTACCTTGCCTTTATTGTGGCTCGTGGCGACGGGAATCAATTAAGTGCTTTTCATACTTGTGCAGTGGCAGAGAGAGGGGGAGACATGTCGGTCGGTCGGTCGTTCACGACGCGTCATTTTCTACACCGCTGTTTTCCATGTGTTCGTACGCGAGAGGGGGTGAGGACAGGAATGCAGGGAGGGAGGGAGGGAGGGGTGTGTTCAGGGTGTTCACATGGGCGAGGACTGGTGGGGCGATACACACCGACTGAACTTGTCTCGTCTTGTTTGCGGTCTTCTATCCATTCCCCCGTATATCATGCATTTCCACCATCCATCGCTCATTTGCCTGTCTGTGTCCCTGCCTGGCCGCGTGCTCCGATTGAGGCCACCCGCCGAACCGAACCATCCACTGATCTGCCACACTCGTCTCGTCTCGCAGCTTGACCTGACACGCTTGTTTCCACACGCCCATCTCTGTGTGTGTGGTTTTGCTTCCGTCTGAGTTGCTTTGTTGCTTTTGAGAGGGCAGAGAGGAGAAAGGAGTTGTGACGGTGATGGGGACAAGAAGCGAGACAGGGAGAGGGGAAGATGAGCGAGCGTGAGAGGGAGGGAGGGAGGGGGAGAGACGAACAAACTGACACGAAAATGAGAACGAAGTATCGCAGCAGGATTATGTTCACGCAAGTGTCCGATCATTCTTGAAAGAATGCAGCAAATTGGTCTCTTCAACCATACACACAAGTGACACACCAACCCCCCGGCACACACGAACACACACAGCATCCACATGGGTATCCTACAGCAAAACACTTCTAAGGAGCTGGATGGCTGGCAGGCAGGCTGCAGACACCAACAAGGACTGACACAAAAACAACACACCACACCACACCACGCCCACACTCCCACACGCACGCCCTCACCGGAGGCCTCCAATGAGAGGGTGGGTGTTGTGACAAGAGACACACAGAAAAACGACAGACGGCACCAATCGCACCAGCCAGTCATTCGCCGTGACTGCCCTCACATCGCGACGACCGCCCGGCCGACCGACAAACGAAAAACGGAGGGCATCAAATGAAGCGTTTACGCAGCATTGGTATGAAAACAATGCCAGTGCTGCCGCCTCCAGTGCTGCCGCCTCATTATCATGGCTTCCCCTTCTAGCACCCGATGGCCATGCCGCCCCCGGGGTATCACCATCTGAATGAGGACATGGACCTCACGCGACGGTCGGTCGGCCCGCCAGCACCGCCGCCGCCACCGCTGCCGCTGCCGCAGACAATTTGGCCGCAGAGCAGCCAGTCGTTCTACATGAGCAGCGGCACAGCGCACACGGCCACCAGTGTGGGTGGGACTGTGCACCAGCACATGCCGGTGCTGCTGGGGGACTATCAGCACATGCCGGTGCTGCTGGGGGACTATCGTGTTGTGATGCACCCCCACCACCCCCACCACCACCTGCAGCAGCAGCAGCCGGGGTCTTCGCACCTGCCATCGCAGTACCACGCCCACCATGGCTGAGGGGTGGGTGTGCTGCACAAGACAGAGATAAGCGCGGCACACCATCATTTGTATGTGTGTGTGTGTGTGTGCGTGTGTGTGCGGACAGGCTGACGATTGAGAGGAGGCTGGTAGAGGCTGCATATGGATGGATGGGTTGTTCCGTTATCGAGACTGTGCGTGAGTGGGGTGTTTTTTAAGACCGATCGGAACGAGACCAGATCACCATTTCATGACCGTGATGCATCAGTCAGCCCACAAACCCAATACCCACGGCAGGTACCACGACCCATATGGTGGGGACAAAATACGGACACCACCACGGGTAATTGGTGAGTGCCGTTTGCCGTGTGCGATGCGGTGTGCGATCGATGCGGTAGGCGTGTGTGTGTGTGTGACGGGCAGGTGACACTCCCTTGCTTACAAAACGGGTCCATGTACGTGTACGTGTGCAATCACATATATGTATTATATTCTGCACGTACTTAGATTTCACATGCACTTAGCGATATTATAGAAATGAGCCTGCCTGCCTGCCTGCTTGCCTGCTCGATGGCACGGCAGGGCACAGCAGGGCACACGCACATACGTACAAACGTAGATGAGCGACGAAAAAAGTGTCCAAACGACTCACTCTTGTGCATCGATCGACACGAGCGAGCCGACACACACAGTGACGCACAAACACACACACATACACACATGTTTATAAAGGCGTCGGTCGGGCAGCAAAATGAGTGGCTGCACGTCAAGCGACACATCAATCAACCGAGTGCCACCGCTCGGACAGCCTAGCCCTGCCCACCCTCTAAACCCACCAACCCTATAAGAGACCATTCCTACTTATTCTACTTGAGCACCACCCCCGGGACGTCACGCACCACATCGAACGTGACGCCGCCCCTCAGCCGCTTCTTCGTATCGGGTCGGCACGAGCTGCACATCCAGTGGTGCACCGCCACACTCCGGCCACTCATATACCGACCAGCGTCGTCCTCCGCCATTGCCAGCATCGCGCACCCATGACGCGCCCACGTCTGATTGGCGAGGTCATCCCTCGCCCTCGGTAGAATCCGCCACTCGTCGTCAGCGGTGCTCTCGGGGTCCCTCACACAGTTGTCCTTCATCCACTTGTTCCACGCGGCGTACTCGGGGTAAAGAACATCGAAGTCGGCCACCATGACGGACCCCAAGGGCGGCCGCTCGCCACATTGCCGGGGCGGGAAGGTGTCCTCGTCCTCCAGGTCGAGGGCTCCATGGACGAGTCGTGTGAGAGGCCGTGGGCCGGTGCACGCGACGGCGTCGTCACTGCCGCACTCGTTGAGCAGTCTTGACGTGTTGCTGAGCGTGTCGTTGAGGAACGCGCCGATGAGAGGGTGTTGGGGTGTCGCGGCGATCCACGCGTTGGAGACGAAGGGCCGCATGGAGTCGTTGAGGTTCTGCGATGAAAGAGCATCAGAGATTGGGGGAAGGTACTTCGTGGGAACACGTGTTGGCATGCTGACCTCGAGCAGGTACACATGGACCAGGTGCTCTTCGCCGACAATGAGATCGTGCCCATTCTCCTCGGCTTGCCTCAGCAGCCCCTCAAAGGGCTGCAGACACTCGTAATCCTGACAGACACAGACACATACCTAGAGCACCCCATCGACCAACACACGCCCCATTCCCTCGCGCACCACATCGAGATAGACGCCGCCATGCACCCACAGCATCAGCAGCCTGCCCAGATCCGCCCGGACGATCCCGGGCAGGTCGCTCCACCTGTCCGACCAGTCAGGGAAGTGCTGATCCACCAAACTCAGCAGGGAGTCATCAGTGAAGAAGTAGTGGCCCATCAACGGGTTGACGTCGTGACACGACCGCACCCACTCCCTGAACATGCTGGGCAGCTCCCGACGCCGCCACGTCTGCAGAAGGATCCGGGGGAAGGCGACGCTGCTGCTGTGGCCGCCAGTGACACACGCCCTCCCTCTCTCATCGACGTGTCCGTTTCTGCTGGTCAATCTTTCCGCTTGTAATGGGATGATGCCGTCGACCAGATCGGTGACTGCCGTGATGTGGCGGGCAGCGGGGGATGCGTGGCGGGGCCGGTCGTGCAGGAGAAGAGCGAGAGAGGAGGAGATGGCCGCGAGAAGGATGACAGCCGCGCAGCCGAAGAGGAAGCGTGGATAGAGGGCTGCTGCTGATGATAGCAGCGGTATACACAGGGGGGAAGCCTGTACTCCCATATCCCTCCAATGCCGTCCACGGCCTAATGAGGTAGGGCCGACGGCGCCGTTAAGCGGAAGCCGTCGGCAGAAAACCGAACCCGGCTTGCGAAGGAGCATCACTCCGTAAGCGAAGGAGCATCACGAAGGGCAGCTGACAGCACGTGGAACCAAGATCAGACCGAGATCTGATGAACTCTTTATATCTGTGTGTTTCTGTCCCATCGTGTGGTGGATGCAGATCTGCTGTGAGGATGTCGTCGTCTGCGAGCAGCCTGGCTGGCCGTGCGGTCGGTCTTTTTGAGGGCCGCAATGTCTACGCCGACGGCGGCAGGGGGGTGTACATCTTGGTGCAGGAGATGGAGGGCGGGCTGGACGGCCGCAGAGAGCGGCGGTTTATACGCAAGACCGACTACGGCAAGATCAGCCTCTTCGACGACGTCAGCCTGGACTTGCGGCAGCTGGCCAGCAGGTAAAGTGTGCACTCGCCGATGCGACGATGCATGTCAGCTCACAGGAAGATCTCCCTGTCTGTGTGTCAGTGTGGGTGTGGCCAATGGCAATGGCGCCACACTGCGGCGTCAGGATGTTTCATCGCCAACCACAGCAGCCGGCCAGGGCGGCGGCGGTGATGTGTTCACTCGGTCGCCGTCGGGTGTGTTTTATCAAGTGAAGCGGCCGGGCAACGGACCCAAACCCACACGTCACCAGACCGTCGAGACCGACGTCATCTGGTGGCGTGACGACTTCGACGGCCGTCCGATGTCACAGTGCACACGAGGGCCATCATCACGACGACCAGGGTGGCGAATCTTTGCATCACTCGTGTGGCTGGTGTCACCTGTTGGTACGACAAACGCACAGATCTGTCAGGTCTGAAGACAGGAAACCTTCAAGCCTCTCTGGGCTCACCTTTGGGGGGGGAGAGAGAGTCCCTCCCATGCTAAGCTCGCATTCCCCCGATCGGCTTTTTGCAGCGTTCGTTCGTTCGTTCGTTCGTTGCAGCGCAAGGTGGGTCAGAGAGCCTCGGACGACAAGCAAATATGTAGATCTGAGCCAGCAGCTTCACCAGTGTGTGTGCCTGTGTGGTGTTCGGGCAGGCAGCACCGTTCATCTGACCGTCATCCATCCACAGCACCAGCCAAGCCCCGCGGACCGGCCAGCGGCGCACAGGTACGCAACCAAGAGCAAGCACTGACACAGCCAAGCAGCAGAAACAGACAGACTCACTCACCAAGTCATTTGCTTCTTACACTCCCGGTGTGTGTGTGTGTGCAGGCGCAATGAGTGACAGACTGGTGGACGTCGGTGTGCTGGAGTTCAGCCGCAACGTGCTGGAGGACCCTGCCCAGCCGGGCGAGTACTTCTACGAGCTCAACGCGTTGGTTCCCGACCGCCCCAAGAAGCGGATCTATCTGCCGCTGGACATCTGCCGCACGAGCGTCAACTTCTACACCAAAGACAGGAATGGCCGCGAATCGCTGCTGCCGAAGGGAGTGCTGCCGAATGAGACGTAGGTGCTGCACAGACACACAGACGGTGGGTTCTCATTGGGGCTGTGTGTGTGTCAGTGTGGGTTTGACCAATGGCAATGGCGCTACACTGCGGCGTCAGGAGGTCTCATCGCCAACCACAGCAAGTGGCCAGGGCGGCGGCGGTGATGTGTTTATTCGGCTGCCGTCGGGTGTGTTTTATCAAGTGGTGCGGCAGGGCCGTGGGCCCAAACCGACCCGTGACCAGACCATCAAGGTCGACTACATCGGGTGGGCCGACGACTTCGACGGACAAGACAAAATATATGATCGCCGTGGGGGGGTGGATCGTGTGTCTCAGTGCGCTGAGTGGTTCCAGGAGGTCTTCACTGACATGCGTGTGGGTGAGGTGCGGCGGGTCATAGCGCCGGCCGGATTGAGTGCCACTGGGCAGGAGGAATACATCGAGTACAGGCTTTTGGCCATCCTGTGAGCACTGCCTCCTGGTGTGTCCGCTGTGTGGGCGTTGGTGGCGGTGGCGCCATCCAGCAGCGATGTCTGATTTTTGTAGCCAGCTGTTCGGTCGTGTACACCACTCTATGGCCCTGCTGCTGCATCGGTGTGTCTACCTTGGCTGCTGCACACATCCACCCACACACATCGATGTGTGTGTGAGTGCATTGTCTGTGGTGTCGTCGCTGTATCTCTCGGCGACCGATGGACGTGATTGTGATGTGATGGCTTCATCCACCCAGGAGCCAGACCTGCCATAGCCAATGTGACGTTCGTTTGGTTTTGTTTGTCCATGAGGCCTTTGGACCCCAAGACGCCTTTTTGCCTGTCTGACGGTCTGCCTGCCTATATGGCCTCTGTGGTATCCGTGGGTGTCCTTCGCGTGTGTTTTCTGACTGGACAAAAGAAACCGATTCAATGTGATCTCTGGACCGTCTGTGTCCTCCACGTCACGTCGCATCGCACTTGTCGTCTGCTCATCGCATCAGCTAGGCCAAAGTGAAGCAGCCATGCACAGTAAATTAACGAGAGAGAGAGAGATCATCCCTGCTGAAAAAACCGCTCGGGATTGAACACAGAGTCATTTGAAATCTGGAGGCAGAGGCATCTCCAGATAAGCTACATCGCCATCTTCCTGCAAGATGAACCGTCTGACCTTTCCCTCGCGCATCGACACCGTCGACGCGGCTGCCACCCTGTATCTATGCATATAATACCTGTCTATAATCCCGTCGGCGCCGTGGTGGCTCAAACACAAAGTCATCAGCAACCTGGAGCAGAGAAACCTCGTCATAATATACATCGCCATCTTCCTGACAGATGAATCGCCTGACTTCCCCTTCACGCATCGACAGCAACGCATCACGCAAGTACCCGAGCCCAGGTTGCGACACACGAGCCATGTGCTTACGGCACTCCGTGTCCTTGACGTTGCCCTCGAACCCGTCACGCCAAGTAACCCTGTCGGTGATGGCGATCTGCTCAAGTGTCGGCGTTCTGCCGAAGCCCTCCCGCACCACTTTGTATCGCACTTCACATCCCGGTGTGTGGTAGGAGGTCAAGAAGCCATCGTCACTGCAAAGGAAACAATAATGACGGATGGCCACAGCAGCAGCCCTCGAGCCTTACGTTGCTGTTGGTGTGTCTGTCTTGACGCCGTACATGGCCGCATTGATATCAAAGGCGGCCTGCTCCGCATTCTTGCCAATCTTGAGCGGCGCATCGATGTCTTCGGTTGACGCACCAAGCCGCTTTCTGCGGTAGTGATCGACCAGGCGGCGGATGTGGTCGACGGGCACATCCTCAATGGGAGCAGGCCACCTGATTGACGACAAATACTTTCATGCCCTTCTGTTGCTCACATGTGTGTGGTTGGCTTTACTTACATATCGAATCGGTTATGCAGCCCAATGTCGCCCATTTCGTCCAAAGTGGACTGCACCGTCGAGATGCGAGTGCCGCACACGTCGACTGACCTAATGGCATCACCGCCACTCAGAGGCGCCAGGAAGGGCTTCACGGCCTGACAGCACAGAAATCCTATCGACTAACATCCGCGCCACACCGACCTTCTCTAAGCCATCCGCTCTCTGTGCTCGTCACCTGTATCTCTTTGTCGAGATTGTCCCGTCGCCTGTTGGCGGCACGCAGCTGGCCCTCCAGCCGGGCCTTCTCTGCAGCGAATGCCTCCTTGATGGCCTCGATCGTCGCCTCGAGAGGCTTGACGACGTCGGCCGTGTCGGCGGGATCGTCAGTGGCCGTCAGTCGGGTCTCAGCGCCGCCGCCACTGGGAGTGGCGTCTGCTGCAGCCTTGTTGAGGGGCGACAGCATGAGCTTGACCCAAAAGTCGTGTCGCTTGGTGTCGAAGAAACTGCCGACCGGCGCCATCTTTCCTGCGCTGCGCATCGTCGCGGCATTGAGGATGGCCTTGTGGATCGTCATGAAGGCGTCAGCGTCCATGTCGATAAAAATCCGCTGTTTGTCGTCCTTGATCAGACGGCCACCCCAGTAGCCAGAGAACAGCGCCGCCAGCAGGGTGCCCTCGACCCCCTCCCCTTCAGTCATGTCCTGCCGCTTGACGCTCATCAGATGGCCGCCCACATTGAGCATCAGCACGTCATCGGGCGACACTGCTGATGGGTCCGATGCGCCGTGCTTCTGCCTCTCCCGCTGGGCGTCTTCATCGACTTGACGGATCTGGGCGTGCAGTTCTTCGATGGCGTCACCGATGGCCGTCAATGGGCCCTGCAGCTGAAGCTGCATCGCATGAGCGCTGAACTGACGTGCTGCCAGCTCAGCTTGCAGCGTCGCCGACACCTGGTCAACACAGCACAGGGAGGTATGAGCAGATCTGGTTCCTGTTTTGATTGATGCATCACCCTTGCCCCACCTGCTTCCTCACGCGATGTGCACTTCGAAGGAACGAAGGTTTTGGCGGGAGATCGTCCTGTAGCTCGCGACTTCTTCGCCGTGACAAAACGACAAACGACCATCACAACAGGTCAGTTGACAGCACAGAGAACACAAACAAAACTGAGATCTGATGAATCCTCTCATATCTCACTGTCATATGATGTCGTTTATCCTTGAGCAGCGGTCCCGATGGGAGAGATCTGATGATGACACGGGAAGCAAAGCAGCTGTGCCCGAATCCGCTTAGACCAGTGAGCAGAATGAACACATAAACAGACGAACACACCACGGCTGATGCTCTCGCTTGGTTGTGTGCACACAGGCAAGGAGATGAAGGTGACCCTTCTCGGGCCTGCCGACGGCTCCAGTGAGTGCCTGCTGCTCGACTTCAATGGTCACCCACACATGCACACACGCATAGGAACACACACTCATGGATGTGCTCTCATCCTCTGAGTGTCTGCGTGTGTGATGGGATGCAATGTGCAGGTCTGACGGTGTTGTGCGATGTGCCGCTGTATTTGGCGGCCACGCTGCCGCACTTCAGGCCGCCACACTGCACTCAAGGCGCCAGCAAACAGCTCCTGCACAAAGACATCAGGTAAGAAAACGTCTGTCTGCCTGTCTGTTGGGGTGTCTGTCTGGTGGATGTGATTGCCTCTCTCTCTCTCTCTCTGTGTGTGTGTGTGTGTGTGATGCCTGATTGCACGTCTGCAGGGTGTCTATCGTGCCTCCGTTGGCTCAGCTGCCCACGTCCATTGATGTGATCATCGTCACCACAGCCATGGGCATCAGCGGCATACCATGGCTGGCAGAGGTCAGTCAGTCAGTCTACCATAGAGCACACAGCACACCTATTTCCTCATACGTGTGCATGTGTGTGTGCAGGTGGTAGATCTGTCTGGCACAGTTGTGCTGGTGCCCCACGTGGCCCAGCAGCTGGCCAAGCTGGGACTCGTGTAAGCAGCCCTTGACACACAAACACACTCCTCCCTCCACCGCTACAACGGTGAGTGGATGTGCCCGCCGATTCATTCCACTTCTTGATTGCAGGGGTCTGGTGAGCGAGGCCCATTTCCGCAACTCGGTCATGGCTGTGGGCGATGACGACCAAGCCGATGATGACGCTGACATGATGCAAAACGGAGATGGTACGGGCACGTGCGCGTACAAACGTGCGGATGGATGTCGTTGTGTTGTGTGAGTGCAGATGGCTGTGGTGGTGTTGCGTCAGTGCATGTGGCGTACGCCAACGAGTGGAGTGACGTCATGACGCCCTTCAGACTCACCATGGACTCCGCCTCGCACATAGAGGGGTAAAACACTGGGTATCCCCCGCTCCCCTTTTACACACAACACACGTATTTATGTCTCTCCCTGTCTCTCTCAGTGACTCGGGGATGAATTCCCATGGCGAGCACTACAAAGAACTGGACACGGCACTCGAACACACTGTCTGGTACGCACACACCTCAATCCATCCGTGTGCGTGTGTGTGTGTGTGTGTGCATCGGCCCTGCCTGTCTGTCACTCAGGAGCTACCCCCGTCTGGTGGAGGGATGGTTCCGCGACCCAAACAGGCTCCACGGCAAGACATTGGCGCCCGGACTCAGAGGCACGGACACACACACGCGCGCACACACATCCGTCGATCGAGTGATGCGTGTGTGTATGGTGTGGCAGGTGTGTCGTACCACGAGAAGTGCGAGGTGGCCAAGGGGGGCCTGAAGATCACACTCACGCCATACAGCTCTGGGCTCTGTCTGGGGGGCACCCACTGGGTCATCGAAGGTAGGAGGTGGATCAGGGGCGTGGATGGGTGCTCACGCCCCGTCACACACGAACACACATATGGGTCTATGTGTGTGAACGTGGCTGCAGAGGCGTCCTCCCCGCTGCAAGAGCGAGTATGGGTGGTCGGCCCGGCGGCATATCGATGTGTGTACCCCGCACCACCACCAGCAGCAGCCACACAAGAGCAGCAGGTCTCTCTCTCTCTCTCTCTCTCTACACACACACACACACACACACTTGACCCCCATCTATGTGCCTGTCTGCAGCCTTCGGCAGCAGCAGCAGCAGCGACGTCAGGCGATGTGCAGATGAAGGATGAGAACGGCCACAAGGACCAGGGGGACGACAACGAAGAGGGGAAGGACACCAGTGACGGCACTGACGGCCCCAAAGAGGAGAAGCCGCCCGAGCCTGTCGTCTTCACCAAGGAGAGACCTTTCAGAGGCTTCGAGGTGAGCTCGTGACGCAAGCAACATCATTGCTAAAGCATCTACACACACACTTTTGTATCTGAGCATCCATGTCGGTGTGTGTGTGTGTGGATGGATGTGATGTGTGTAGGCCCCTCCTTATCCCGGCAAGCAGGACGACGAGTCGACTTGGCACGGCGAGGCCGTCGTCATGTACGGCTGTGTCGCAGAACACACACCCGACCAACAAGGTGAGCGCACGACACATGGTGGTGAATGTTGTATGTGTGTGTTTGTTGGTGGCTGGTGCAGGTGGGGATGGCGTGAGTGTGGCCATGTGGGAGGTGTTGGAGAGTGTGTTGGCGACGGCCAAGAAGGGCGGCAACGTCCTCATCCCCATTGACTTCAACTGGATGGTATGCCGCCACAGATCCCACACACACCTGGAGGGATATGCGTGTGTGTGGTGGGTGTCAGCTTGCCTTTGAGTTGCTTGAGCTGCTGCTCGTGGAGCTCTCACACGACCCCGCCATCTGGTGCGTTTGTCTGTCGGGGAACACACACATGCACACCCGTGCGGACTCGTTCGTTTCTGTGTGTGTGTGTGTGGTGCAGGGCGTCGGGCAGCTTCCCAGTGTTTTGTGTGGGCGAAGGAGTCAAGGAGGCCCTCCACGCAGCTGACCTCAGCTCAGAATGGCTCAACGAGTCAGCCAGCCACGCCATCCACACAAAGCAAAGACCCACATATATGGCTGGCTGCATCTCTGTGTGTCTGCGTGGCTGTCTGTGTGCAGGCAGCGTGTCCACCGCGCCCTGTCATCCGATGCCGTCAACCCGTTTGCCTTCGACCAGCTGCAGCAGCAGGGCAAACTCATCGTCGCCGACTCCCTGCAGACACTGGGGTACCCCTACTCACACACACACACGTCCCTACACCCACGCACATGTCCCATGATGTGTTGGTGCAGCGATCGGTATCGGGAGCCGTGTCTGATGGTGACGTTTCACTCGTCTTTGCGGCTCGGCCCGGCGACCGAGCTGATGCCCAGGTGGGCGGGCGACCCCAAGAACCTGCTCGTGTGCGTCGACCCCATCAACACGCCCACACACCTCAAGACACCACCAACCACAGCGCAGGTACACACGCGACTCCCACCACACACACACACACACACACACAGGGACAGGTGCATGGGTGTCTAAGTGGTATGTGGATCTGCGTGTGTGTGTGTGTGTGTAGGGTGCCGGTGGTGGTGGTGGTGGTGGGTCGGCCGGCCTGCGCGTCCCTGCATGGCTGGCGCCGTATGAGGACATCGATGGTGGCCTGCAGATGCAAGTCCTTGACGCCCGCCGAGTCTTTGACTTCCGTGTGACGACAAACGAGGCGTCACAAGTGCTCAACATAGCCAGGTGAGTGAGGAAAGACAGTGAGTGTGGTCACTGTGAAGCTGTCTGTCGTGATTGGAGCCTGTCGTATGAGTGAGTGTGTTGCAGGGCGCCGTATGTGATCGCCAGCCACAAGCTGAGAGGCTCCTCGAACACCACAGGAATGTCGGCCTTCCTCTCGCCAGGAGAGCCGCTCCTTATCCCACTTGGTAGGCAGGCTTGTGCACACGCATCATTGCCCCCCCCACCCCCCACCACAGTGAGTGATCTCTGTCATGTTATGCGTCTCGTGTGCGTTGTTTGTGTCGCGTGCAGCGCCGCCCGCTGATCCGTTCCGTCCTGCCATGCTGACGACCACTTTGGCTGCCGACTTGGCGCCCATCCCCATCGACACGCTAGCCGGCCTGGCGGCCTGCCACGTACACGGCGAGATATCCCACACACAGCAGGACCTCTTCGTTCGCAAAAGGGACGCTCGGCCACCGCCACAGCAGCAGCAGCAGCAGCAAGGGGCGAAGGGGGATGGCATGGCCGCAATGCCATTGCTGTTCGGCAGGGTGGATGTGACGAAGCTGCTGAATGGGCTGGAGAAGTTGGGCGTGCGGACGGCTGATGTGACCGTCACCGAGGAGACGACAGACCAACACCCATCAGGCATGTCGACTCCCACGAACATACAGAGAGACACTCTGTGTGTGAGTGTGTGTGTGTGTGTGTCATGGGTGCAGGTGAGCACCACAGTGGGTCGGCCTCGAAGGTGCTGCGTGTGGAGATTCCTGCGTTGGAGGCGTTGGTGTGTGTGGGCGAGGGGGGCGGCTGCACTTGTGTGGAGGCCATGGACGAGGAGGGGCGGGACAAGATCAAGAAAGCCCTCATGCTGCTGCTGGCACACGTGCCGCAGGGGGCTACTGGTGGCACATGACTGACAGACACGTGTGCTGATGAATGGATGGATGTGCACATGGATGGTGTTGCATTCACTCAGCGGGATTTTGTCAGTCAGTGTTTCCACTGTGTGTGTGAGAATGACTGACGGCAGGACTGTGCTCGAGACAGACGTGACGTGATGCTCTCTCTCTCGCAGAACTTTAGTCCCCCAAGCTGCGCTCGAGCATTTACATACTTCGCGGCCGTTGCGGATCGCTGCGCTCTCCTCTCTACGTTAGCCGTGCGACGACAGCCCTCCTGCTATCTGCCTGTCTCTCTGCCCTCTGTCTTAACGGCCTCCCCCTTCTCTGTCCATCTCCAGCATCCCTCGACTCAACTCCCATCGCTTGCCTCTCTCAGCTCGCGGCTGCCCAACTTATTCTCTTCAGCAAGCCCCTTGTCGTTGTTCGTCTACTCGTCTGCGTATCCACCCGTCGTCCGCTCCACGACCGATGAAGGCCCTCTCCCTTTCGGTGCTGGTGTGCCTGCTCGGCATCGCACTGGTCTGCGCTGATGATATGAAGCGGGCTGCTCATGCGGATGCGCCGTCTGCGGTGGCCCGGCGTCTGAGAGGCGGGGCACCTGATGACGCCGACGAAGTGACATCCGATGGTACGCAAACACGATGGCCGTCTGCAGCTGGTGCACACGCTGCACAAGTACGCCTTTCCTGTGTGCCTGTGTGCTTGTAGGTGGTGTGCCTGATGCTCCTGTGACGGGCCCAGCGGCAGACTGTGAGGACGCGGCTGATGATCCGACGGCTGCACCTAAAGGTGGGTGTGCAGACATCCCCACCCCGCCCACACGTCGTCATACTGTTCTGGCCATGTGTGTGTGCGTGTGTGTGTGCAGATGAAGATGAAGATGAGCCCAGTGGCCTGGAGGCTGTGGAGTCATCGAGTCCCACAGAGCGGAGGCTGGGCCCGTACTTCTGGGACAAGCTCAAGTATTACAAGAACAAGATCAAGAACAAGATCAAGCAGAAGTGGTATGGCTACAAGAACAAGAAGTATGGCGGCGGTGGCTATGGCGGAGGCTACGGTGGTGGGTACGGCGGTTACTATTAGACACACCACAACACACAGTGTGTGTGTGTGGGTGGGTGCGTTGACACCATATAGTATAGCGTGTACATATCTCTGTTGATGGCTGTGTAAAAGGCTCGTGCGTCTTTGTTTAAGCACGAGCACCGTACCGTACGTGTGGAGCTGTGGATGACATCAAGTGGGTGACTGGAGGGGTGGGTGGCTGGTGTATGTTTTCATCAAGTGACTGGATGGATGGTCCATCCCATCCAGGTGTCGATTGTGCTCACACACACATGTACATATCTGGTCGTTCTTTGTTGCGAGACAACTTGTTCAGTACCGTACAAAAAGAGAGAGGGTGTGGCGTGGCTGATTCTGGCAGTATGTTCTGTCCGTCTAAGTGCCTGTCTGTCTGCTGCTGCTCTGCCAGCTGTGATCGATATCGATGCTGCCCGTGCAGAAGTCTTTTGACCGCGATTCTCTGCTCCGATTATGCATACATCGCTTCGTGTGTCTTGCTGTGTGTGTGGGTGCATGTTGATACAGACCTTAGACGATACGCGACAAGGCGGTACAATACTGTAGATACTGAGGACGCGTTTGCATTCAGATGTGATGAGATGAGCTACACAGAATGATCGTCTTTCTGCATCATGGCTAGTCATTCAGTCATCATAACTCGTCATTCAGTCATCAGTCAGTCGTTGCGGTACGTTAGTGGTACGTTCATCCCTTCCCTCGTCCCCCGCCTGATTGTCAGTCATTCAGTCAGTCAGTCAGTCACCAAGTCAAATACTCTGCAGAGAGGTCAGTTGGTCAGGAATGATATGCCACCTAGCAGGAAAGGCCAGAGAACCCTACACACCCCACGCCCCACACACATGCACCCATCATGCAGTGGACGCGCAGCATGGCTCTTTGCCACGGCCAAGCCCAATAAGACCGTCAGACAGGCTCGCTCACAGAATGGCCACAAGCGTGTACTCACCGAACAGGGTCGGCTCTCCAGTGACACTCAATCCGGCCGGCACGATGACCCGCCGCACCTCACCCACACGCATGTCAGTGAACACCTCCTGGGCCCACTCAAACGAGACACAAGATCCACCTCCCCACGGACCTCGTCTAACTTGTCTTGTCCGTCGAAGTCGTCAGCCCACACGACCTGGTCGGTCTTGACGTGCTGGTCAGGTGTGGGTTTGGGTCCACTGCCCGGCCGCACCACTCGATGATAGGCGCCAGAGGGGTACAGCCGAAAGGACACCTCACGGCTGGTGTCGCCCTCGCTGTCCGCCATCTTGTCTGTTGCTGCTGTTGCCGCGTCGGGCAGTGCGACCGTGGTTGGTGAGGGTGGCTGCTGATCGTCCTCTTCCCTCTCTTGGCCTTTCTCGGTGCCGACAGCCGACCTGACCACCAGCAGCAAGTCGGTGTTGGAAGCACACCTGCCTGTGTGTCTGTGTGTGTGGGTCACTCACTTGTCGGGTTCGATGCAGAGCTTGATGTGCGAGTGGAATGACGGCTTGATGGCCAACCGCTGGCCATTGAACTCCAACTTATAGTCACCCTCCCCGCCCTCATAGACAAAGTGACCATCCAACAGCCCGACCGGCCCACCGCTCATGGCGGCAACACACCGCACTGCAGACACACAGACACACAGGCAGACAGTCAGAGTGATGTTCACGTCACCGTGAGATCTGGGTGTGTGTCATTTGTTGGCTGACGTCCTCTGAGTCGGCTGATGAGTTGGAAGGGCCGCGACGTCGGCGGCATCTGTGGCTGCAGTGGTGTGAGTGGCGGCCGTACGAACCCATCGACAGCCGCCCAGGGCACCAACAGGACGGCAAACAGCCACACGACCATCGCGACAGTCACGACACACACGAGATTTGTCGCTTGTTCTCTGTTGTTGATGAATCAAATGCCTTCAGATCACAGGCGGGAGCTGTCCAGGCTGCTCTGACGGTGAGGTCTTCGCTTAGTTGGAGGGAAAGGCGGGCGATCGTCCTGTGGCTCGCAGTCGCCCTCCCGTGGGAAGCAAAAACGACGAAGGAGCATCACGAAGGTCAGCTGACAGCACGAGCAACCAAAAACAGACCGAGATCTGATGATCCTGTTCATATGTGTGTGTTCTCTCTTCAGTGGTTGATGCCACAGGCTTAGCCTTTCCGGCCCATCTTTCGCAAAAGGTAGGAGCGTGTATCGATGCTGAACATACAGACCCACAAACTGATGCTGTTTGCGTCTGCTGATCAGGCATTAATCGATCTCAGATGGCCGCCCTTCTCTCGCGCCATGACGCCCTCTCTGCGCTCGACAGGAGCATTCTCGGCCCTCTGGAGAGCCTCGAGGCCAGACAGAAGGACACTGAAGCGGCCCTCACAGTGAAATACAACGTCACCAACCTGCTGACGGAGTCTGGGGCCGTGTGTGACGGCGCATCGGCGGCCTCCGCTGATGACCTGCTGTTGCTCAACGTGCGCGGCACTCACGTGTCGGTCCGCCGCAAACACCTGACGAGCATCGAGGGCTCTCTACTGGCGCTGCTGTTCGGTGGCCAGTGGGACGGGCGGCTGGTACGAGATGAGGACAGTCGCGTGTTCATCGATATGGATGGCGAGGCCTTCAAGGCCATCCACAGGGCCATCCTCGACGCCGAGACCCTCCGGCGTGCGGGCAAGGCGGTGGCTGTCGGCCACCTGCTGGATGATGCTGCCAGGGGCAGCTCCGACGACTTCTGGATCAGACTGATGACTGCACACATCGACAAGGGGCCGGCAGAGAGCAAGGAGGCCTTTGTGGAGCCTCAGCTGAGTGCCACGGGCATTCCCGCCGAGTTGGGTGAGTTGGTCAAGACGGTGGATGCGTTTGTGAAGGCATACGCCGCTGAGAATGCCCAGCTACAGGGGCAGCTGGAGGCCGCCAAGATACAATACGAGTGGCTAGAGAGGGAGATAAAGGTGACCGACTGACAAGACTGCAGAGGGGACGAGATCCTGCGAGCACTGTGGCGGTGTGTGTGTTTGACCACGACAGGCCGTCACGCCGTTTCTCAAGCCGCTGGGTGGCGACGATGCCGTTCGGTCAGTGGAGGTGTGCGGCCAGACGGTGACGACCACTAAGTGGACCCTCAACCAGATGGGGGATATCACCCTCCGCCATCGACTCGATCTGTAAGAACGACACGCAGCCACACATACCCACACACGCATATGTCGTTCGTCGTCTCGTCGTGGGTGTAGGTGGTCGCGGACACGTGCGGTTGAGGTGGTGCAGCCCGACCACATCGGCCGTATGGTCGATCACTACCGCAGAAAGCGGCTCGGTGCGCCGACCGAAGACATCGATGCGCCGCTCAAGATGACAAGGACGATAGAGCAGGCCGCCTTCGACGTCAATGCGGCCATGTATGGCATTGTCAAGACCGACATTGGCGCCACAACCCAGGCCCCAGCCCACACCAGGTGAGTAGTGAACACCACTCACAGTATCCAGCCCCCATCGTCAGTTCGTGTGTTTGTTCGTTCCTTCATTGTCAGTGTTGGCGGTGTCCCTCCAAGCGTGTCGCCATGGGGATGGCTGAAGGGACGTTGGTGGCTGGTGGCACTCGTGTGTGTGGGCATCCTCGTGGTCATGATGGGTGCGGCCGTCGACACCAACAGCGGTGCGGCCGTGTGCCGCCAGGCCGTCTCCCAGCCAGCAGCTGTCGGCCAGGGACCTGCTGATGTGTTCGTTCGCTTGCCGTCGGGTGTGTTCTATCGAGTGGTGCGGCCGGGCCGTGGACCCAAACCCACACGTGATCAGAGCGTCAAGTACGACCACATCATGTGGTATGACGACTTCGACGGACAAGATAAGAGTGGCGAGGGTCGTGGGCGGGAGTATCTTGTCTCTAATTGTCCTGAGTGGGCCCAGGAGATGATCACTGACATGCCTGTGGGTGAACTGCGGTGGGTCAGCGTGCCAGCCGGCATGAGTGTCACTGGACAGGAGAAATACATCGAATATAGGCTGTACGTCGAGTTCAGGCTTTTGATCATACTGTGAGGACTGCCTCCTGGTCTAGTGTGTCGGCTGTGTGTGCGTTTGCGGCGGTGAGGCCGTCCGGCAGTCAGTCTTTAGTGGAGATGTCATCATGGCTGCTCGTGGCTGGCTGGCTGGCTGCACCCATTTCTGTGACTTGGACTGCTTTCCACTCGCTCATGGACTGATATCATCCACCAATAATAGCATTCCATCGTGGCGTGTGCTGCGCCTGCTGTGCGTGTGTCATCCGTTCCACTCTCTCTGTCCAATGCATAGCAGCTATGTACACTCAGAATCGCACCCACACACACGCACGCAGGCAATCCCGGCGAGCAGAGCCACCCAAAAACACTGCATCCATCCATGCCAGCCGCACTCCCGGTCACTCGCAATATCAATCCCACGGGAGTGTTACTTTACAAATCATGGCGGGACGGCAAAACGTTGCGTGCATACGTCTTCCTTTCCTCGCTGCAACCCTCCCTCCCCACACCAGTCCGTGAGGCCGCCGCTCTCACTCAGGTGTAGCTGCCGATGTAGGGGAAGCCGGTCTTGAAGACTGCGTCCTGCGTGAGGACGCCTGCAGAATTCGAAAGGACGAGGCACGATGGATGACTGGCTGGAATGCAATGATGCCTGCCTCGACGTCGCTCTGACTTACCGCTGATGGCGAGCATGGCTGCTCGGCAGTGGGTGATCTCCTTCTCCTCCATGTCACGCTGACACATCACACACACACACATCACACACACACACATCACACACACACACACACTTATACACGACCAAGCCCTCTTCACACCCGACCAAGCCCTCTTCCGTCGGACTAGACTCACCACGTAGTCGGGGTCTTTGTTTTTGCAGAATCCCAGTGGATCGAATCCGAATGCGCCCGGCTTTCTGCCCGACCCCATATTGACTGTCTGCGTGAGGGCCACCAGGCTGATCATCTCCAGGAACGACACCCACAGCAGAATCTGACCCATCGCACCGTACTCGACAGCCTTGTCATGCGCCTGCAGGGACGACACAGCGTGCTCGGGACCTGCAACACACACATACACACAGACACATACATAGACACAGGGCGTGTGAAGAGAGAGTGTCGGCAGTTGACTGACTGACCGGGGAGTTTGAACATGTCAGCGACAACGTATCCGAGGAACGCGAGCATGGAGATGCGGCCGTGCTTGAGCTCAGCCTCGCGCATCCAGTCCATGTTGGCCCACTCGGAGAACCCCAAAGGGTCAAAGCCCTTGTCGCCAGGCTGACACACAACACACACACAGACCCACAGTGACACAGACGTACACCACCACACAGACAACGTGCAGGTGTGTGTGTGTAGCTGACGATGTTTGGAAGGTTCTTCGGCCTGCCGAGGAAGGGCACAGCGACGGGGAGTTCAGCCATCATGGTCGTCTCGGGCGCACTGCCCGCACGCCGAGATGAACCAGCTCGGCTCAGAGACCGCAGACCGCTGGATGGGACGAATGCCTGCATCACACACACGGATGGACGACACAGCCATGCAGCTGTGTCTGTCGCATCCTGGTGAAGTTTCTGGTTGACTCACCGCATCAGATCTGCCGGCGTCCAGACCATGTGAGAGCACCACGAGGGCGCTCAACAGACAGCCTTGAACCATAAAGCGCTGCATTGTGCAGACCAACGACGAGACCACAGGGCAGGAGATCTGCACCCTAGCAGATTTACCACAGTTTGGTTGCCCTAACTCCCCCTTCGACCTCTTATCTTTTCTTTAAACGCAGGGGGGCCCGACGGAACTCCCCCTGTCCATCAAGGCCATAGAATCTGCACTGCTGTGCCTATCCATGTAAGACCTATCGCCACCTATCGCCTTCGCAAACGATGATCCAGAAGAAGAAGCTGAGCGTATTCGTCGCCCCGGAGGACGTCGATTCCCTCCTGAACGTGCCGCCCCAGAAGAAGCCCCCTGCCCTCGAGCCCCTTCTTCGCATCCGCGTCATTCGTGACGTCTCCCAGGACAGTCACTACAAAGACAGCCATCAGGGGGAGGAGGGGGCCGCCGCGGATTTCCAGTGCGTGGAGCGTCTGCCTGACGGCGCGTTTGAGACGTTTGAGAACCTTCTGGTGTCGCTGAAGGGCCGGCATGAGGGGCCCCTGGAGTGGGTGGAGCCGGGAGTGGATCGGCTGCGGGTGTTCTGTGGGGCGGAGTGGTATGCTCTTGAGAAGGATGCGTCACAGTTTTATAAGGCGGTCAGTGACTCGGCAGGAACAGACAGACAGAGAGACAGAGAGACAGAAAGGTGGCTACATGTTCTTGTGTGTGCCCTTCTCTATCTCTCTGTCTGCTCCAAAACCTGCAGTATCCTCTCGACCCCGTTCGGCCTTTCTTCGAGCAAGCTGCCAAGGGCAAAGCCCTCTCTCGGTCCGTCATGCCTGCTGGCGCTAGCGTTGGAGCTGGTGCCGGCGGTCTGCCCACCCACCCCACACACGTGACATACGTGGTCTCTGTCAGCTATGACAGCCCCAGAGGGGGCTACATCGACCAACAGACAATCAGAAGAACGAGGGGCTTTGTTGCAGGTCAGTGGGCGGGTGGGTGTCTCTTTCCGGTGACAGGTAGATGAGCGATTTCTCTGTGTCTGTTCATGTGTGTGTGTGTGTGTGTGTGTGTGTGTGTAGAGGAGGCGTTCAAGGCGACTTACCTGAGGCGGATGGTGACCAAGACCAGGACCAAGAGAGCCCGCACCCGCACTCCGCAGCTGGCCACGGTCTCCCTGCGCACCACCAAGGACGGCACAGGCGACAAACGGCATTTCGTCTTCCCCGACGGCAAGTACCGCCGCTCCAGCTTCCTCGCACCCATCCCGGCTCCCACCCCCTCCAACATCATCGATGCAGCCGAGCGGCAGAAGGGCACGGCCGTCACGCCAAGCCAGTCGTTCTACAAGGGTGTTCGGACCAAGGCCAGCTTGATGAGCCGAATGGTGCGGTCGTGGCGGCGGTCGCTCTTGGGGTGTGTGGGGTGGAAAGACGTGGATGACGCGTCGCCCGATGAAGAGGCCGAGGATGCCGCAGCGGTCAGCGAATGGCGCAGCAGCCGCATAACACGCGTTTCTAGGACGAGTTTGTTTCTGTGGTCACTCACGTCTTGCCACAGACCGAGCGAGTCTCCCCTGAGCTGATGGACCGGCTTGACACTGTCTTTGGGCTGTTCATTGTTTTGAACGCCATCTTCCTGGGCATCGAGACCGACTGGCGACCGAGAAAGTAGGTCGGTCGGTTGGCTGTGTGTGTGACGCAGAAAGGACATTGGTCGGTCGTTTGCATGTATGTGTCTCGGTTGTTGTCTTGTCTTGATACCTGCGTCGTCCATCAGTGTGACCGCCTGGGACGGGGGGCCAGATTTTTGGGGCTGGTATGCCGTGCAGAATTTGTTTTGTGTCGTGTTTCTGCTGGAGATGCTCATCCGAATATGGATCCTACGCAGCAGGTGGGGTCGGCCACGCAGAGAGACAGAGACAGGGCTCGTCGACCTGCCTGTCTGTCTGTCTGTCTGTGTGGGATCGAGCGCAGGTATGTGACGGATCCCTTCAACTTCTTCGATGGGTGTCTGGTCCTCCTTGGCCTCGTCGACACATGGGTACACAGACAGACAGACAGACACACAGACAAACAGACAAACAGACGATCGGTCGGTGATCACGGGAGCAATTGTTCGTGTCTCGCCCACTGACTTTTGCTCTCCTCCACACCTAGTCAGTTTCTGACGTGGCTGATGCCGCAAGAGAGCCAGAAGCAGGAGGGCGTGCGGATGATCCTCATGCTCAGGATATTCCGCCTCTTCAGACTCGCTCGCATGGTGCGGCTCTTGCGCATCTTCAGAGAACTATTACGCCACACTGAGCGTGTGTGGCGGCGCGTTACGGGAACGTTTCCGGAGAGAGGCGGGGCGTGTGGTGTCTTGTCTGGCTGCAGGCTGATTATGAACGGCCTGGCTGCGTCGATCCGGACGCTCGGGTGGACGGGCTTTCTGCTGTTTTTCATCATATACACGGCAGCCGTCTTGTACGCAGCTGGCCACACAGACTCAACTCACACAGGCACAGACACACCTTTGGTATGCGTGTGTGCGTCTGTGTCTGTGTCTGTGTGTGTCAGCGTGACTCAGCTAGTGGTCGGTGACAAGCAGCTGGCGGGCAACGAAGAGGCCTCAGGCTACTGGGGCACCGTCGGCAAATCAATGTGTGTGTGCGCGTATGTGAGCAGCCAGCCGATGGAGAGAGAACCCATCCATCCATCCATCCATTCATGGAGTATGTCTCTGCACCCACCGTGGCGTGCAGGTTTTCCCTCTTCCAGATGGTCACGCTGGAGGGATGGGAAAGTGAGTGAGCTGAACAAGACCAGCCGTCCCACCCCCAGCCACACACCTTTCTCTGTCCCATGCGTCACGTCAGGTTTGGCCCGTCCGGTGATGGCTCGCCTCCCCGGCATCAAGATCTTCTTCATTCTCTTCCTCAGCGTCTCGGCCTTCGCCATCATGAACCTCGTCATCGCCATCATCTGCGAGCAGACGCTCGCCACGGTGCGGGAGGACGAGCGCAGCGTGGCCAAGCGGCTCAAGGCCGAGCAAGAGGCATTCTTCTCTGAGGCCTCCAAGATATTCTCCCTTATCGACACTGACGTCTGGGGGGAGGGGGAGAAAGGATCACGTGAATCAGGCGGGAGAGAGTCTCTCTGACCCTCTCTGTGCGTGTGGTGTGTGCAGATGGACGGGCTTGTGAGCAAAAGAGAGATGAGAGACGGCATGAAGGACGTCAAAGTGAGTGATTTGATTGAGACATACACATGCGTCCAAGGGACACGACTAGCATGATTGTGCACTGTGCCTTTCACTCGCTCTCTGTGTGTGCAGGTGCAGCTGAACCAGTGGGGCATCGATCTCGAGATGCACCATGCGCTCTTGGAGTTCCTATTCGACAACGACAAAATAGCCAAACACACCCAACCACCCCACGAGACATCACATAGCCATCAAAACTCTCTCTCTCTCTCTCTCTCTGTGTGTGTGTGTGTGTGCGTGTGTGTGCGTGTGTGTGCTGGTTGGTGTGTCGATGGGTGCAGCGAGCGGCTGTCTTGGCCGGTGTTCACCGATCGCATGCGGCGCATCACTGCTCAGGTCAAAGGGGTCGATGTCTACTGCCTCGAGGTAGACCTCCATCCATCCATCCAGCCATCGAGCCATGAAGACCTACACCCACAGCACCACTCGCCCACCCATTTATGTGTGCAGGCGGACATCGACGGCATCGGCCGGCGTCTCAAGCACATGGAGCGGAAGCTACTCTACCTCACACAACAGACCGTCGCCTTCTTCGCACACCAGACTGCAGCCAAGAACAGACCTCCCAAGATCCTGCCCCTCCCACCTGACGACCTCATCCCCCCACTGGTGGCCCCCTACGCCCACCCAATGCCACACCGCTCGGCCATACCCAGCGAATCTGCCAGCGATGATGAGGGAAGAGACAAAGAGGGAGAGGCGGAGGAGGGAGGAGACATGGACGCTGGCCGTCGGGCGACTATGAGACTCCCGGCAGCTGAGGGAGATGAGCAGAGGCCACCAGTGGGCGAGAGGCAGCTGGCGGACCACCCTTCTGTGCATCGGGCATCCGTCTCGGACAGCCCCACAGCTCAGTTCCCCTCCTCACCGTTCTTCCCTTCAAAAGCACCACGCCAGCTGCTGTCAGTGCCCGGCCCTCCGTTGGTGAGTGAGCCGCCGTCCGTCATGGACATGGACAGCGAGGAGGGGCTTGCTGAGGAGGGGGAGGGTCTTGACGAGTGGGACTACACCACGGTGTCGATAGACCGTGTGGCTGACGGGGCGCGGACGTGTATTTCGACCACCTGCTGTACCTGAGCACGCCAAGAGAATCAGCAGAAGGGGAGGCGGAGAGCGAGCGGTGGGGTCAGCAGAAGGGAGAGGGAGAGGGAGAGAGGGAGCTCTGACAGACGGACAAGGGATGGCTATCGCATTCACGTGTTGCTTACATATCGCAATTAATGCCTTTCTGACCCTCTGTGGCATTGTGACTGAGATCATGGCCATACTGTACGTGTGTGTGGATGTGATGTTCGCATTTGATTGACCGTCGATCGCATCAATCAATGGCCGTTCTCTTCATCGAGAAAGTTCTCCAGACGAGCTTTAAATCCATCCATGCAAGAGGTGTCATTCCACACACATACACACACATGCAGAGTCACTCTCACACCGAACGTGTAGATGTGTATAGACAACGACTCCTGCTACGGTACCACACAGGTATGACCTCAGTCAGTCGTCTTGATATGATAGCTTGGGGGGCGGGCCTCGCCCAAAGCGGGATGTGAGGACCGGTCTCGCTCTCGATTCGCCGTCGTCCGCAGCCGGAGCAGCTCGGCCCACGTGTGAGAGCCGTGCCGCCGCGTCCGAGGAAGAGCAACTAATCGAGAACGAGCTCATGCCATGACCATCCACGACCAGTCCAGACACACACAAGCATGCAATGCACCAACAACATGTATATCCATGCAGTCTCTCTGGAAAACTGCCGTCTATGCATCGGCAACTCCAACCAGATACCTCTCCATCACACCCAACGCCTCCCTCTCCCCCTCACCCGCCGAACCCAGATACCGCTCCCGCACCCGCCCAAGCAGCCCCTCCGCCCTCTCCCTCCTGTCCCTGGCTGTCTGGTTCATCCACACGTCGGCTACAGCCACATAGAGCGCGCCTGGCCCGTCTGTCCCAAACTGCTGCCGGATGTGCTCCCGGAGTAGTGTGCGCAGCAGGGCCACAGACGTCGATGTCGATGTGCGTGTGGGTGTGGGTGTGGGGTCGCGTGAGGGTGCGGGAGGGGGCGGGGCTGGGGATTGTGTGTTGATGAGGCAGGACAGCACCGTGTGGAAAGGGCAGCATGAGAGGGCGGCGGGGACGTCCTGGGCCTGCAGGTAGTGGTGGGCGGCCTGGCAGACAGGACACGACAACACACACACACAGATGATGTGTGGAAGGGCCGTGGGCGTGTGTGTGTGTGGTGTCTGTATGGCTCAGTCACTTTGAAGGGCTGCCGGTCCGCGAGAGCACGCCTGGCCAGCACGGGATGGATGACGCTCATCGGCACCTTCAGCTCATCAGTCAGAAACGACATCTGCAGCACACACAAGACACACAAGGCACACAAATGGATGAGTAAAGCGCGAACAGGGCCGCAGGCAGGCTGAGAGAGCGCATTGACCGACCTGAGTACCGTTGTCGAGGCTGAGGTTCCTGTTGAGTATCTCCACAACCAACGAGTCACGAAGACCTGACCGCCCCACATGTCCATCAGCCTTCCCCCCACCCGCCCGCCATGCCCGTCTGTCTCCTCCTCCCCCACCTACCTTTGTTTGCCATGTGCATGACGACGAACACGGCCCACTCCCACCATCCCATCAGGTCCAGCTGGAACGCCATGGCGGCGTGCAGCCGCTCCACCCCCGCACTGCCCACACGCAGCGGGTCCTCGGCCACGTCGCCCCGTGTGCGGATGAGTGTGAGGACCACCGGCCAGACCAGCATGTGGTCCAGGGGGTAGGGCGTGTGGCTGGCCGTGTCGAAGCAGACGGGAGGGATTATCTCGCCCTGGCGGTATCTGAAAGCACAAACACGCTTTTTTGTGCGATGTGCTCTGCGTGTTCCGTAGCGTGTGTGTGCGTGTGTGTGTGTACCTGATAATGGTGTGTTGCATGTCGATGTCGGGTCGGTTTGGCTGTCCGATCAGGTCGATGGGGTCGGTGCTGCGAGGGATGTACGGCGGGAGGGGCGCCACCGTCTCGTTGACATCCACCTTGGACACCATCATCGCATGAGACCTCAACGCCTACACACACACACACACACACACATCATCATCATCAAACACCCCGGCCGGCACATTCTCCCCTCTCTCTCTCTCTCTGTGTGTGTGGGCGTACACTTCCGATGGGGTCGGTATCATCGCCCGTGTACAAGACGACATAGGCCGCCAATCCCTCCCGCCACTCGAGCGCCCCCATCTCCACCTCACCAGCCGCACCAGCCCACACGCTGCCCAGACGGCTCAGCACCGACGTGGTGGTCTCCGCCAGCTCGTTGGTCGCCCCCATCTCGCGGCGCAGACGGGCCTCCTCTGTGTCTCGGACGAACGGTTGCGCGCCCGCACTGTGAGTGGCGTTCATGAGGGCCAGCAGACGGCTGCCGGGGAGGGTGGCGAGACGGTCCTTAGTGGCACTGATCACTCCATCAGACTGACAGACAGACAGGAGGGGAAGCAGGGCGTGTGTGTGAGGGTGTCTTGGGGGCGAGGGGGATGGCCACATGGTCACTTACGTGCTGTGACCGCATGAGGCGCGGGACCAGGTCGGCATCGACGTCCTCATCTTGCTGCTGCTGCTGCTGCTGCTGGAGGTGTGCCCTCGCGAGGGCGTGCCTGCCCCTGCTGGCATTCTCCTTGACCACCTTCTCGCGCAGCTGACGGTGCGTCACGACCTGCAAATGGATGGAGGGGAACATTCACGATGCTGCACCCACGCACAGAAAACATGGATCTGCTGACCTTGAGCCATCCTGCGAGGCCGTGGAGAGCTCTTTTGTTCACGGCGGCCAAGTCATCGGCGGCCCCATCTCCGCCGCCCCAGAGAGCGTGGATCTCCTCGAAGGTCTCGAGCGCGTAGCGTCCCAGGTACCAGCCGCTCTCGGCCTCCAGACACCGAAGCAAATCCAGCTGACGCACTATCAACCTACACCACACACACACACACACACACACATGCCTGCACGCCTTCATGGTGTTATCTATGGCTTGCCAGCCGTAGACCCGTACCTGCTAACGATGGCCCCATCGCGCTTGATGGCCACGTGTGGCATCCCCCCTGCCCCTCCCCCTCCGTCTGCCTCTGCCTCTGCCTCAGTGACGACGATGTCGCATGCCTCAAGGTGCGCCCGCATGACCTGGGCGTAGGCCTCCGGGCGTGGGAGGCCGGTGGGGTGGTGCGCTCTCGCCCGGTCAGGGAGCATCCTGCTGGGCGGGGGCCGCTGGGGAATCACACCTGCACAGACAGACATGCAATGGGGGAGGGTGGATTGTTTAGGTGTGTGGGCCTGTGTTGGTGTTTGACGTAGGTACCTGTGCTGAAGGGCTTTTCGTTGAAGGTCTTGTTCACCGTCACGAGTGGGTGCAGCGCCACCAGCTTGATGTGGGTGCCTCTCTGCCCACCCCCACCGCCCCCGCCACGCGTGCACGGAAATGCCACCAGCCCCCGCCCGCCCGCAAAGCACATCGACACGCCGAAACCCCCCTCATGCACCCGGCCCGTCCTCTCCGGCAGCCGGCTCGTTGCAGCGAGGCCCCCCTGCATGGGCACATCGATGGGGGTGCCACCGGGGGTGAACGCGCAGATGTGCATCCGCTCGTGGATGGGCACGTCGCTCGCCTCTCTCTCGCCCTCCCGCGCCTTCCTCGGCTCCTTCTCGGGTCGCTTGCGGGCGCCGAGGCGCGTGTCGATGTGGGCTGCTGATCGGGGCGGCGGGGTGGGCACGTGTGGGGGCGAGGGGGGCTCCGGCCGCTTCTTTCTGGGGGCCAGAAGTGACGTCAACGGATGTGCCTCCGTCTCTGTTTCTGCCGCTGTCTCCAGCAGCTGCCTCCTCTCCCTGGGTGGGACAATCTGCACCCGCTCACGCGCCTGCTCACGCAGACCGACGCCGCCGGTGCCCATGCCCACCCCAGCCGCGTCGTAGGCATCAGGAGGCGGCAGTCGGTGGCCTCTGAGGGGCAGCGGCGAGGGCTCGTGATGGTGCTCATGACGGTCGGGAAGGTCGGGGTATGTTGGCGGTGCGGGGCCCTCAAAGGTCGGCGCCACGTTCGGCTGGCTCTCCCGCGCGCCCAGGCTGAAGAAGTCCTGCGCGAGGCGGCCGTGGTCCTGACGGCGCTCCTGGTGCTCCTGCATGTCTGCTGGGTGTATGTCTGGGTGCTGTTGGTCGAGTGGGTCGATGAGCTGCTCTTGTTGTCCGAAGCCGGAGATCTGCTGGATGATGGGCGAAGCACCCGCTGCTGCGATGGGTGTGTGGATGGGCGAGGGGGGGCGGACGTCGGACCAGTCGATGTGCCGGAGCATGTCGTACTTGGTGAAGTGCTCCACCCAGAAGCTGACACACATGGTGAAGAGGGAGAGAGAGAGAGGGAGGGAGGTGACACACAAGTGTGTGTGGTGTCGGAGGAGTCGCTTGCTTACTGCCACTCCAGTTGGTCGACGTTGAGGTTGATGAAGTGTGCCGCGGGCACCCGCTCAGTCGCCACACGGATGCGCTCACCCTGACGCAGCAAAACCCGACACCATCACAAAACGACACGCAATGCACCCAGCCGGCCGGCCATGTGTGTGTCCCCTCCCCCTCCCTGTCCCCTCCCCGCCAGCGCTGCTTGCCGCTCTCTCACGCCAATTGTCGAACTGCCGCTTCAAACTGACACAAAACGCAGAGCGAGAGGCATCCAGCCACACCACACGAATCAAACCACACGCACAATGGCTGACCTCGCAAAGTTCTCCTGCATGTCCACTCCCAGCTTGAGCATGACCTCGCACCGCTTGTTGAGCTTGCTGCCCACCTCCGGCTTGGTGGCCTCGTTGGGGTACACCTCAATGTAGCCCTGCTCCAGCTTGACGTCCCTGTCGAGGTTGACCTGGCGCATGTCGGTGCGCCCTGGCCACCTGGCCTCGCCCACCCCGCCCCGCCGGATGGTGAAGTCCTGCACAGACGCCAGCTCCTGCTCCGTCATCTCGCGCATCGACTCGATGGACGGGGTGCAGCTGTACTCCATATTTGACAGAGTCGGCACCAAGGACGGCGCCACCCTCTCCCTCACCATCACCATACCAGCACCCCCAACACCCTCAGACGCCCCCGTGCCGCCGCCCTCACTGCCAGGGAGCCGGGAGGCCCTCGGCACGACCAAACTCCTCGTCGAGTCTCCGGTCACTGGCGAGCTGGCGATGCTCGAATCAGGCTGCGCCGATGGCTGTGGCGATGGCTGTGGTGTGGAGGGGCGGAGGTAGCCGACGCCGCCTGACGGTGGTTGCTGTGCGCTGGTGTCCTCCAGGTCGCGTGCGAGGCGGCTGGGGTTCTGTGGGAGGGAGGCGGAATCGTCCTCGGCACCTGATGGATAGGGAGGAAGGGAAGCGGGGGACACAGGTGAACAAGTGACTGACACGTGTGGTTGGTTGTGTGTGGGCGTGGGTGCGTGTGGTCGCATACCGAGCTCCTGTCCCCTCGGGCGCGACCGACCGACGGGCTCACGGTAGCCTGAAGGAGAGCAAGGAGAAGCGCAGAGGTGACAGGAAGGCCGACGTGTGTGTGTCCGCCAGCTCAGCTTCTCCAAGGTGGTTTGGCTTACTGAGCAGGCCGCGTCGCCCCAAGAGGTCCTGTGCAGTGTACCGTCGAGCGGGCGGCGCAGGCGCAAGCCGCCGCGGAACTGCTAACGCACCTGACACCACACGACATACGAACATTTCCTGGCGTCTCTCTCTGCTGCTGCCACGGTTTCTGACGCACTTTGTTCCACAGCCGGTGGGAGCGCGAATGCAGCCCGTCCAGTGGTTGCAGCAGCAGTGGCGACGGGCCTGCGCCTGATGTGCTGGGGCAGTGGGCGCCACATGTAAAGCGCTGACGTGGTGGACGGGGCGGACGACTTGGGCAGCAGGATGCCGGAGGGGGGAGGGGGGCGCATCTCGAGAGACGACGTCGCGCCGAGGCTGGGCGCTGGTGAGACGCATCACGCCACACACACGGATGGAAACCGAGAAATCAGGCCAGTAGATGACGGGTGTGTGTGATGGTGCATTAGGACTTTACCTGTGAGGATGGGTGCGACGAGCTGCTGCGTACTGACGGGAGCAAACAGGGCGCCCGGTTGGCTGCACAGGAAGGGAGGGCAGAGCAACACACACACCAGAGAGAGGACACACTTGAGTGCAACACGCCTCCCCTCCCCTCCCCCATATAGGATGTGCATCACTCACTGCCTCCCTACCCCATTTGCTGCTGCTGCTGCTGTTGCTGTCCGAAGAGGCTGCCTTGTGGCTGTGAGAGCGACGGCTGGCTGAACAGACCACCACCAGTGTTGCCGAACAGACCGCCCCCCGCTGTGCCTGTGGTGCCTGATACACAGACAAAAGGATGAGGGAGTGTGTGCGGGGTCTGTCGGAGGGAGGGAGGGTGGCTGAGTGCCGCCCGCCCCATGTGTGTACCTACCTCCGAAAAGCCCGCCTGAGGTGGTGCTCCCGAACAGGCCGCCGGCAGGGGCGGCACCTGCACACAATACACAACAATCCAATCCACCAACAGCACATATCTGCATGAGCACTATGACGCTCTCTCTTTCTGTATATATCTCGCTCCCCTCCGTCATCCCTCCCTCATATATCCTACCGAAGAGCCCTCCAGTGCTCGCCGGCTGCGCCCCAAAGAGACCTCCTGTCTGTGCGGGCCCAAACAGCCCGCCAGCCTGCTGCTGGCCCGTGTTGCCGAACAGACTGGTTCCTGTCTGGGCGCCGCCGAACAGCCCACCAGTGGGCTGCGCTGCGCCAAATGCCGGTGTGGTTTGGCCGAAGAGGCCGCCAGCCGTCTGTGTGGTGGAGCCGAACAGGCCGCCCGTCTGCGGCTGTCCGAAACCGCCGAAGCCTGGCGGGCAGAGACAGAGGGGGAGGGAGAAGGAAAGGCATTTGTGTTTTTGTTCGTTGTGGGTCGGATGGGGTGTGGTGTGGTGTGGTGTGTGGGGTGAGTGAGAGTACTTGGTGTTGGCTGTGAGCTGCCGAAGAGGCCGCCGGTCTGGGCGGCACCGCTCGACGCAGAGGCACCGAACAGACCGCCTGGTTGTCAATAATCACAAAATGAAAGGAAACAATGCCGCACCGCAGCTCTCTGTGTGTGTCATAAGCGCATGTGTTTCTCACCTCCAGCGGCCGGTGCAGGTGTGGATCCGAAGAGGCCGCCCCCCGTGCCGGGCGCGCCGAACAAACTGCTGCCCGTCTGCTGCTGACCAAACAAACCGCCACCTGTCGATGTCCCACCTGACACGCACGGACATATCACACCCCACACCACACCAAATCATACCCCACACCACACCAAAGTCAACCAACAGGCCCATCCAACCGACTGGTACCTCCCTCCCCTCTAGAGACTGCTTGCCTACCGAATCCCGTGGTGGTGGCGCCTCCTCCGAATAGCCCTCCCGTCTGCTGTGGCTGCTGCTGCCCGAAGAGACCTCCGCCGGCAGGCTGCTGTTGGGGCTGCCCGAAGGCAGAGGTAGACTGCCCGAAGAGGCCTCCGGTGGTTGTCGACCCGAACAGGCCTCCGCCCGTCTGTGCGGCGCTGGACTGGCCGAACAGACCACCGCCGCCACCAGTGGCTGCGAGACGAGAGGGAAGATAGATACGAGACGTGTGTGCGTTGTGTTGTGTTGGTGTGTTGCAAGCGTGTCGCTGGTCTAATTACTTCCAAAGACGCCTCCGGATTGTGGGGCCTGGCCGAAGAGGCTGCCTGACGTGGTGGTGCCACCGCCAAACAGACCACCTGCACACAGCACACACACACACAGGAGAGTGTTTTGGTGTGCACTGAATGAGCATGTGGGCGACTGACCTCCTGACGAGGCGGCCGCTCCCCCGAACAAGCCGCCTGTGCTAGGGGCAGCCGCACCTAACACACATACACGCATACACATACAGAGAGAGAGAGACGACAAGCAAGGAACGCCATCCATCCGTCCATCCATCCATGCATGGGTGTGCCGGTGGGTGGCTCACTCTGTCCGAACCCTCCTGACGCTGCCCCGAACATGCCGCCTCCGCCGAAACCACCTGTGGGTGCTGACACACACACACACACACACACACACACACAGAGAGAGAGAGAGAGATGGGCCCAGATGGATGGACACATGCGCGTGTGTCATTTCATCTATGTCAACAACGTACCTGATTGTGCAGTGGTGCGGCCAACAGAGTAATCCTCAAACCGAAGCTCCTCTAAAGACTGCACACACAGCACAACACAACACAACACAACACAACACAGACACACACATACACACACACACACAGAGAGAGAGAGAGAGAGAGTAGAGTAGAGAGATGACACACATCATCATGGCAAGGCATGGGATGGCACCAATCAGGTGTGTGGGGTGTGGTGTGGTGGCTGAGTAGCCCACCACCTTGCCCTTCCCCTTCCCACCCACCCACCCACCCACCCACATACGTACGCACCTTATTCTTGTACTCGTCCATGGCAGCGATGTGCTGGTGAGTGGCCTTGGCGTCACCCTGGTCCCGGATGAGCCGCAGCTTAACCGTCGTGCCCTGAGCCGCCTGCACTCCTACAACACCCACTGACGTCACAATTGCAATGAGTGAGAGAGATAGAGAGAGAAAGACAGACAGGTGAAGATGACCCACACAGTGTTTCTGTTGTTGTCGGTGCTTACGTCCTCCAAAGGCTGGTTGTGCCGGCTGTGCGCCAAAGAGTCCGCCAGTTTGGGCGGGCTGACTCGGCTGCCCAAACAGACCTCCGCCACTGCCAGCACTGGCGCTGAACAAGGCAAACACCCCACATCACCCCATGACACCACACATCACACACACACACACGCACACAATCCTCATTTACCCGAATTGAGGCGTTTGCTGCTGGCCAAAGAGGCCGCTAGTGGGCTGCTGGGACTGGCCGAACACTGCACACACAGACACAGACACGGACACAGACACAGACACAGACAACACAGGCAGACACAGAGAGACCATCGTGAGATGGGCATCACCACACACCTGGACAGGGCGTGTTGCGTCTACCGTACCTGGTGTGGCAGTGCCGCCGAAGAGGCCTCCCGTGGCCGCAGGCTGGCTCGCCGGCTGCTGCCCAAACAGGCCTCCCGATGGCTGTGCCGACGCGCCGAACATCCCACCTCCAGACGGCTGGGCGGCAGACTGCGCAAATACTGCATCACACACACAACACACGCAAGAGACAGCACAACCAAGACGCCCATACACACGCATGCACCCCAGTGTTGTTCCCCCCTGAGGCTCCCTGCGACATGTGTGAGCTGCGTGTGTGCTTACGTCCTCCTCCCGTTGTTGGCGCGGCGCCGAACAGCCCTCCCGTGGCCGCAGGCTGGCTCGGCTGCCCGAACAGCCCTGTGGACGGCTGGGTGGTGCCAGTCGACTGCCCGAAGCCGCCGAACAGGCTCCCCTGCGTCTGGCCGAAGCCTGCCGGCCTCTGTGCCGAGCTGAAGGCTCCTCCTCCACCAAACAGCGACATGTTTGCTGCTCAATGGCTTGTGACTGGATGGAGCTCACACACAGGGATCACGTAGCATGCATCTTGCGATATGGTGCAGCTGTGTCAACATCCACATGTGGTTAGAGCAAGCTGAGAAAGCTTTCTTCTAGCGGCAGATTGTTGGTTGCGAAGGCTGCATTGGCTAGGTGTGGGCCTGATACATATCGCTTGGATGTCGCGTTTCGAGACCCCGCCGCCTCCCGCTCGCCGTGCTGACCGTGAGGACCGCCTGGCCATGCCCACCCCGGCCAGGCGCCGCCGCCAGCGGTCCAGGAACGTCACCCCGCCGCCCCAGCACCTCAGACTGACGCCAGAGCAGCTGCGGCGCCTCCTCTGGGCGCCGCTGCGACGACCGGTGCGCAATCAAAGGATGGACGGATGGATGGACGGCCAGATCTGGGCATCGGATATCATATGGATGGATGGCTGGATGGATGGATGTGTCTTGGCTGTGGTACCGTGTGGGTGGTTTGTGTGTCATGCAGGTTGGCGGTTCTCGTCTGATTGATGGTGCCGTAGAGGAGTGTGTGCGTGAGGACGAGGTGGCGAGCCATGTGGGTGATGAGGAGGACCCCCCAAAGGCCCACCTCGACGAGGAGGCCAACGGGGCCGTTGCTGCTGCCGATGAGGAGGTGAGACCCACCACACACCGCTGTGTGTACCATTTCCGCCCATCTCTTTTCGTTGTGTGTGTATCATTATCAGGTTGTGTTGGGTGGTGTGTCGTCTGGTGCTGTGGTGGCTGCAACGCCTCCCAAGTTGGACAACACCAAGCGGCCCCGTGAGGGCCGCCGCCACCGTCGCACCTCCATCGCTGGACGCCCCACCATGGCCACTGCCGCCGACTACGTGTCGCCCTCCCCTGAGAAGCAGAAGAAGAAACACGCCAGACGCATCACCGACCCACCGCTGCAGCTAGACACGGGAGCAGCAGCCGGCGGCAGCATGATGGAGGAAGCGTAGATACGGATAGCTAAGATAGAGAGAGGGGCAAGAGAGTTACGGATGGGCGCGTGGCTTATTGCCGATGGAGGGAGGGTGGCAGCCAGGGGAAGGGAGAGAGACGCCGATAGATGGCATGGACAGGCAGGGCAGGCAGGTAGACAGACCGATAGCCCGGCGGACTTGACTTGCCTGCGCGGCTGTGCGTGTATCTGTGTCTGTGTTGCCACACGACACACTGACACAGCCGCCTATTTTTTCTCACCCCCACTCCCTCCCTCGCATCGTGATGACTGTGATAGCTAAGTGCATGTAATCCGTGCATTTCCACACCTACGTGATGCCCGTGTGTGCGGTGCCTGCCTGCGTGAAGACAGAGAGAGGAAGACAGAATCCTGGTCGGTCCGCCGCAAGGGCCAGGCCGCGGGAGGGCGTCTCATTCCTCTCTCCTTCTCTCTCTCCGATGTGTGTAATTGGGTGCATGTAATCCATGCGTTGCCACACCGTCACGTCATGCCGATTGTCTGTGTGTGCCTTGCCTTGCCTGCTGTCATTTCCCACCTCTCTCTCTGGCTTTTCTGAATGGTTCCATCTGTGTGTGGTTTGGTGTGAGGGGGAGAAACGCGACTGTGTGAGTGCGCGTGTGTGCGTGTGTTTGTTTGCTTGTGTGTTCGGCTGATACGATCCATGTGTGTTGATTGACAAGGCGGTCTGTGTGTCCTTTCCTTAAGGCACGTGCATCCACCCCACCCCTCACTGACGCTACGCCTGTACCCACCTAGCCAACCAATACACACTCAGCCAGCCAGTCGCCGATAATGTCTCACTCACCGACAGATATCATCTCATCGCACGACAAAGAGGGCAGCACCGCATGCTCATGCTCATGCTCACTCAGCACCGATGACGCGCACCCACCCACCCACCCACCAGCCAGGGCAGGCAGGCAGGCAGGCCCACATCACGCACACACACGCAAAACCGTGGGCAGGTCATTCGCCCACCTACGGCCATCCATCCATCCATCCAAGCGCCCCTTTGACCCGCTTCCGTGCATGCGCAAAACACAACACACATTCAAAGGAGCCAGTAGATGACGCGCCCGAAACGAAGAATAAGACCATCGTACTTACAGACACAAATAGCCATCGCCACCGCCACCGTACGGTCACACACACACAGAGAGAGCCACCCAGACACACAAAGAGAGACAGATGCATGCCTGCCTGCCGAGCCAATCGATCGGTCAGTCAATCAATTAGGCCAGGTAGCTACGCTTTGCTTGGCTGGCACCGCGGCACACACACACACACACACATACACATGAAT